AACACTGTCCAGTCCTGTGCCAACCTCACAATTGTTGCTATCTATCTATGCCTGAGTCCACTGCTGCCGCCACTGTGTTAATCCATTTCATTGGAATCCATCTCATCAGGGGTTTTCCTCTTTTTCTCCAACCCTCCAATTTTACCAAATATGATGTCCTTTTCCAGGGACTGGTTCCTCCTGATAATAAGTCTGAAGTATGAGAAACGAAGTCTGGCCATTCTGACTTCCAAGGAGCACTCTAGCTGTACTTCTTCCAACACAGACTGGTTTGTGATTTGGGCAGTTCATGGGTACTTTTAATATTCTGCTCCAACACCATAACTCAAATGTATCGATTCGTGTATGGCCTTTCTTACTCATTGTCCAACTTTCACACGCATATGAGGTATATTGAAAATGTCATGACTTGGATCAGGTGCATCTTAGTCCTCAAATTGACATCTTTGCTCTTCGAACACTTTAAAGAGGTCTTGTGCAGCAGATTTATCTACAGCATGCTGCTTCCATGAGTATTGATGGTTGATCTGAGCAAAATGAAGTCTTTGATAACTTCAATCTTGTCTCCATTTATATATGGATGTTGTTTATTGGTCTAGTGGTGAGGATTTCTGGTTTCTTTATATTGAAATTCAATCCACACCAAAGACTGTGGTCTTTGATCTTCATCAGTAAGTATTTTAAGTCCTCTTCACTTTCAGCAAGCAAGGTTGTATCACCTGCATATTGCAGGTTGTTAAGGAGTCTTCCTCCAATCCTGATGCCATGTTTTTCTTCATAATAATCCAGCTTCTTGGATTATGTGCTCAGCATACAGACAGAATAAATATGGTGAAAGAACCCAACCCTGGCACACACCTATACAAATTTTAAGCCATTCACTGTTCCCATGTTCTGTTTGAACAACTGCCTCTTGGTCCATGCACAGGTTCCTCATGAGCACAATTAAGTGTTCAGGCATACTCAGACTTTGCAGTGTTGTCCACAGCTTGTCATGATCCACACAATCAAAAGCCTCTTCATAGTGAATAAAGCACAGGGAAGCATCTTTCTTGTATTCTCTGCTTTCAACCAAGATTCATCTGACATCAGCAATGATATTTCTTGTTCCTCATCCTCTCATGAACCTCTGGGAGTTCTCTGTCAACTTTTGGTTGCAGCCATTTTTGAATCATCTTTAGTAAAACTTTACTCATATGGTATATCAAAGACATTGTCTGATGATTTCCACTTTCTGTTGGGTCACCTCTCTTTGGAATGGGCACAAATATAGATCTCTTCCAGTCAGTTGGCCAGATCTCTTCCAAATTTCCTGGCATAGATGAGTGAGTGCCTCCAGTGCCGCCTCACTTTGTTGAAAGATTTCGATTTGCATCCTATCTATTCCTGGTGCCTTGTTCTTTGCCAATGCTTCTTGAAATTCTTCCTTCAGGATCATTGACTCTTGATCATATGCTACCTCTTTAAATGCTTAAAGGTCAATCATTTCTTTATGGTACAGTGACTCTGTATTCGTTCCACTATCTTTTGATGCTTTATGCATCATTCAATATTTTGCCCATAGAATCCTTCAATGTCACAAGTGAAGGCTTACAGTTTTTCTTCAGTTCCCTCAGATTAAGAAATGTTTTTGGTTTTCTAACTCCATCCAGGTCTTTGCAAATTTTGTTATCATATTTGACGTTATCTTCTCGAGCTGACCTTTGAAATTTTTTCTTCAGCTCTTATACCTTCTCACTTCTTCCACTTCCTTTAGCATCTCTACATGGTGAGCAAGTTCAGAATCTCTTCTGACATCCATTTAAAAGCTTCTACATGGACTACAGGAATATAGTTTTCATGATGTTGTGAACAATGGCAATCCAGTCTGGAATCACCCTTGACAGCTCCTTCTCTGGGGACATTTAATGAAGTCTCTCTGAATTTTCCTCACTCCATATCACTGGCATACGTACCCATTTCCTTTTATGTGACTGGTAACCTGGTATCCTGCCTACATTCTAAACTTGCTTGTGTACTATTGCTTCTACATATCATATACTTTGTAAAGCACAAGGCTTATGAAGTCCCTTTACCTAAGAGGGAAAATACTTGAATCTGGCCCAGCCTCCCACTTCTGGGCCTGACACTATCTTTCCAGTTTTAAGCTACTCTGTCATTTACTTCTGGGCAGCTGACACATGCTGAAGGACTCTGGTGGTGCAGAGGTTAAGTGCTTGGCTGTTAACCAAAGGTTGGAAGTTTGACTCAGCAGCTGCTCTGACTGTGCTTCTGTAAAAAATGTACAGCTTTGTAAACTTTATGGAGTGATTCTAATTTGTGTTGTTGTTGTTGCTGTGTGTTGAATTGGTTTCAACTCATAGTGACCCTGTATAGGGTTTCCAAGAGTGTCTGGTGGGTTTGAACCATCAACCTTGTCCAGGGCTTCTCCTACAACACCACACCTGGGCTCAATCTGTGCTATAGGGTTGCTGTTAATCAGAATTGACGCAATAGATTTTTTGGGTTTTACAAATGCTGTGTTACCATTAGCACATACATAGTCCTGGTATGGTGCTGTAGGATAAGCACTGGATTGCTAACCATAAGGTCAGTGGTTCAAACCTACCAATTGCTCCTTGGAAACTCTATGAGGGGTCACTGTGAGTCAGAACTGACTTGAAGGCAGGACCCATTATCAGGAGGGACTAGGCCCTAGAGAAGGACATAGTGCTTGGTAAAGTGGAACAGCAATGGGCTCAAGCTTAACAACAATTGTGAAGATGGCGCAGGACCGGCAGTGTTGCATTCTGTTGTGCACAGGGTTACTATGAGTAGGAATGGACTCTACAACACCTAACAACAACCACCACAAGAACACATACAATCACAGAACAAAGACTAAGCTATATTAAGTAAGGAAAGAAAAATGTAAAAGCAGTGTGTAATATATGCTATAATTTACGTTTAATAATGGGTGCATACATACAGATGTATGAAGAGGCTTCAAAAAGTCTGTGGAAAAACTCCATTACCTTTTCATTCCATTTTCCACAAACACTTTGAAGCCCCCTTGCATATGTGCATCCTAGGCAATAGCAGAGTATCTCTGGAAGAACTGACAAGAAACCAGAACTGGTGAGCTTCCCTGTGAAGGCCAATGGGATAGCTCATGTATAAGGGTTGGAGATTCACTGTTTATCTATACTTTTTTCCCTTTTGTAACTTTTGAAATTTAATGTGGCACTGTGAGTTAATGCACGAGACAGCAAGGTCGATTTGAACTGCAGGGTCGGTGGTTCAAGCTCACCGGCTGCTCCTTGGAAACCCTACACAGGGTCAGTTGAATGGAAACTGACACTACAGTGCTTAACAACAACAACGTATCTATTCAAACACAAAAGTACATTAGAAAATTATGAACTTGTGTTCAAGTCTAATGCTCTTCTTTTCATGACCAAAACTTGGTAGCAATAACTTCCTTCAAACCATTTCTTCTGCTCCAAGTACTCCCTGTTACTTAACACTTGCTGCTATAGTTGTTGATAAGTGCCGTCAAGTCGGTTCTGACCCATAGCGACCCTGAACAGGGTTTCCGAGGCTGTAACTTTTTACGTGAGCAGAAAGCCTCATCTTTCTCCTGCGGAGCAGCTGGTAGTTTTGCACTGCTGACCCTGACGTTAGCAGCCTGATTCGTACCCACTACGCTACCAGAGCTCCTTTACTTAACACTTACCTGCATCTAATTCAATGCCATTTAATTTATAAATATTTCCCTGTTTTCCTTACAGTGTTTTTATCGCAAATGAACTTACTTACCTGTTTTGTACTGTTATTTGTACATACCTTACTTCCTTATTATTTTGCAAGCTTTAGATGTCAGGACTGTCTTACTCATCATTTTTCACAGCATCGTCACCTGGCTATAACCTACCTAAATTAATCATATGGGTGGACAGAACAGGGGCAACTGTAAGTTAAAGTGGAGAGGGGGCGCTGTGTGTGAGGGTGTGTCTGTGTGTGGGGGGGCGTCCATGGCGATCTTGTTTATACCTAGAAGAAGGCCCTGAAAGAAAAGACTTCTAACTGCAGGTTGGATTTTCAGGTTTGTATTTGTAGGATTAAAGCTTCAAGAGTTGAGAAATCATGTATTTTGGGGGCTTCAAGACAGAGTAAAGTAGCAGAAAGGATCATTTTGAGGACAAATGATTAAGAGCTCACAATTCCAACTTAAAAATCTAAAATCAAATTATTATTAATCTCTGCTCTACAATCAACTTCCAGACATACGTCCCTGCACTCTCGTCTTTACCACCTCTCCTCCCCACTTAGCTGCTCAGCAACTCCAGCCTCCATAATTATCAAGTTTTCTTTGCATCACATGACTATTTTAAGCACCTGTGTAATCACCTCTCCCATTCTGTCTTCCACCTTAAATTACAAAGAGTGACTGTTACTTTAACATATTTATAAGTTCATTTGACCTGATATTTTTCTGTTAAGTTCAATTTTATACCGTATTCCTAAAAATTCTTCCCCCTCCTTCTAAATGTAACTGTGAATACCCAACGCAGACATGGCGGTGGGGGAAACCTCTTAAGGATTTTAATTTCAGTCTAGAAGTCAGTGCATTAAAAAAGGAAATATTTCTCAGTAGAAAGTTATTTCATGTTGTTCAACAACGTTCACACACACAAAGAGAAAAAAGTAAACTATACTGTCATCACTGGATATAAAGCAGATATCAAATGCTCAATATATGAAATACCCAAGTTCCAGTCATTCAGCAGCCTTCTGGCGTAATGCTTTTTAAAACAGCTTTTCTGTCCCACAACATTAAGCAAATCGTTTAGCAATTTCTTTTAATTGTCACAGATACAAAGCTTGAATCTATTTACATTAACATTACACCAAAGCAGAAAAATACCAATAAGTTAACTTTTAACTTCAGAGAAGATAAAATATTCCTATAGCTAAAATAGAATACTACAAGACGATGAACAAAAAATAATTTCACTTACATCAAGAGAGCCTTCATTTATAACAATCATTCCCATGTTCTTCTTCAAAAGTTTGCAGGAGTGTCCTATGTTAAGGGGAAAAAAAGTACAGCAAATTAACTATGGCATTAGTTTTTCTGAAAAGAAGAGATGGTGAAATTGAATTCTGCCCTTGAACTGCTCTTCCTTGTTATAGGAGAGATATGCGACAAGGGCAAAACCTGACATGTTAAAGTTGACTACAAAACCAAACATGGAAAGAGACTATAATACTGATTTTCAACGCAGTAAAAATTAACAAAGAGATGGAATCCCCTTCCTGATAACCAACACGAAGAACAGATGGACCAGCGGGTTGTTTCCAGAAAAGAGCGCAAGAGAGTTAGTTGTATTGATATCTCTCCGATCCATTGATCCCACCAGCATCTAATGCTTTTGAGTGGTCATGACAGACATTCTCTTTACATTTATCCTGTCTTCCCTTCTCTCTTTGTTGTACTTGCCATAGGGCAAAATTATTCCCAGTTAAATCCAACTCCACCTACTCTGATGCTGTTGAGTGCTTCTGAAAATCTTTGGAATCAAACAGGCAAGCCTGCTGAGTAATTGCACTACAGATTTGTTTTCACTGTTTTCCCAGGGGCATGAGTGTCACCCAGAAATCCTACCATACTATTCTACTGTCCTAAAGAACTACTTTAAACTTTCTCCTCATCCTTCAAACTCAACATCTCCTTTCCAACCCTACTTACAGCTAATGACCTTCCCCGTACTGAGAAAACAGAAGCATCAAGAAGAGCAGCTGTCAACACCTGTGCCATACACCCTGCCCTCTCACCAGGTACCATGCCTGAACTGCCCTGTTCTTGTGCAAGCCATCTCTTTTATTTACCTACATTCTACTCCCCTCGC